TTATGAACCCCAGAGGTAGTGAGAAGAAAGCTCCACACAAATCAAAGCAGGCAGCTGGCCAGATGTGTCAGATATGCCCCCCTCCCCCCCGCACACACACACCCGAGGGTCTCTGCCCCAGCACATCCTCCAGACAGGTGTTTGCAAGAAGGCACTGTGGGGTCAGACCAGGCAGACTCAAAAGTCGCTCTTCCCTGGGCAGCCAGACCTTCAGCTCCTACTCCTTAGGGCGAGGCTGCAGGTGCCCTTCGCGCTCAGTGAAGGGGACACTCAAAGGTGTATGGAGTGAGAAAGGAAGATCCCCCGAATAGGGACCCCCCACCTCACACACATCTCTGCAGCTCCCAACCCCAGCATCTCCTCAGGCTCCGCCCGCTACCTCAGTCTCCCTCATAGCCAGCCCTTCTCCTTGAGCCAGGCCTCGCGTCCCCGCTGGACCCCTCCCCTCGCCGCGCTTCCCTACTTCAGTCCTTCTCCCTCCGCCTCCCAAGCTCCATCCTCAACAGCCCTCCCCCTCCAGCGCGCCTCTTTCCAGCGAGCGCCCCCTCCTCAGTCTCTCTTCCTCTTCCTCCCCTTTCCCTTCCTCTGTGTCTAGGAGCCCCTCACCGGCCTAGGAAGAAGGCACCGAGTGCAACCAGAAGCAAGGTCAGCAGCGCAAAAAAGAACACAAACATTTCGGCCCCTACCCGGCCAGGCCAGGCCAGGCCAGGCTCCGGCCCCCCCGCCCTGCTGGCCCCCCCACCACGCCGGCTCAGCGCAGCGCCGCGGCTGGCCGACCAGCCTCACGCGCAGGGGCAGCGCCGCGCGAGGAGGCGTCGGCGCACTCACGCCCCGCCCCTCGCAGCCAGCCAGCCAGCCAGCCAGCGGTCTCCTTTCCGCGTCCAGTCGGGCGCAGGCGATCCCGGAGGGCCGACTGGTTGCGTGCGCAAAGTAAAGGAGTGGCTCCGAGAGGAGGGTGCGGGGTAGCGGACCCAGCTCCGACACAGACATGTCCAGACCCCGGGGCGCTTGCTGTTGTGCTCTAGACTAACGAATCTGAGCCTCCTCTTTGGGCTGGTGATAAATGTGGTGGCTCATCTCGGCCGCGGAGAGTTCCACTTCAAAACACATTCATTTTCCTCTAAGTTAGCATCTGCTTGGGCCACTCAGGGCCTGGACTGAAAATACTGCGGGAAGTTATACCCTAGATCATACTTAGCACTCTCGTCTTACTTGGGGCCAGTGTCTGAAAAGTACTGGGGAAACAACCAAGAAGTAAGTAAAAGACTTCAAAAATCCCATCTCATTCCATCAACAGAGGAAGCCCATAAATGTTTTAATTCAGTTTGAATGCTGTTTTGGTCAATATGTGTTGGCCTATTGTGTAAGGAGTTCTTGGGTGGGGCGAACCTCGTTAACTAAGCACTAACAGGTTGGTGGTTCTAAATCACCCACGGCAGTCTCGGGAGACAGGCCTGATGATCTGCTCTGAAAGGTCACAGCCTTGAAAATCCTATGGACCAGCTCTGTTTTGCACACATGGGGTGGCTGTAAGTTAGAATCTACTCCACAGCAACCAAGATGTATACATCAAGAACTGAGCATGGGCCAAGGTACACTGCAAAAATGGAGAATATTGTTTTTGCTCTTCAGCAAATCTGTGAAGCAAATAATGACATGAAACCAAGAGTTCATGGTCAACTTTATTTTACCTGTGTCTTTCCCTGTAAAATTAGGGAGTGGATCAATATCTGAGAGATCTATCTACTAATACCAAAACCTACTGCCGTGGGGTCAATTCCGACTCATAACAACCCTATGGGTCAGAAAACTGCCCCTTAGGGTTTCCAAGGCTGTGAATCTTATTAAAGATTGCCTCGTCTTTTTCCCACAGAGTAGCTGGTGGGTTCGAACTGCCAACCTTTTGGTTAGCAGCCCAATGCTTTAACCACAGCACAATGGACTAAAGAAATCCTGAGGACTTCAACAAGCATGCAGTAGTGTGCTGCTTTGCTATCTTATATTCTAAACCAAACCAAACCAAACTCACTGCTGTGAAGTCAGTCCCGACTCATAGTGACCCCCTCCTTGGGTTTCTGAGGCAGTATATGTATAATAATTCTCATAAATATCCTTCAAGAGTTTTCTCAGTCTTTCTTTTCAGCTCCCTCAGATAAAGCACTGTTTCAATTTTCACCCATTTTGCCCAGTTAACTTTTCCTCCTCCAACTGATTACCTAGTCAAGTCTTTTTATCAGTCATTTCATATTTCCCCAAGGGCACCACTGAATGATTGTTCAAGGTCATACTTGTCTGTTGAGCACTACATCTCTGTCATCTCAATTTCTCATCAGGGTATGGTGAATCCCAACTCAGTGAAAACTTCTGTCCAAGCAAGGAAGGGTCCCTAATATCTCCCCACTGTCATGTATCAGGAGCTCTGGTAGCATAGTGCCTAAGGCATTTGACTGCTAACCAGAAGACTGGCAGTTCAAACCCACTAGCCACTCCTTGGAAGGAAGGTTGAACAATCTACTTCCATAATGATACTGCCTCGGAAACCCAAGGAGGGATCACTATGAATCAGGTCTGATTAGATGTCACATAACAACAACAACAACAACACTGTCATGCATCTTGTCCAATAATCTGTTTCCTGTATTCAGCTAAGATTTCTATCACTTCCTTCTTTCTCCCAAAATGGTTACCACTCCTACTTCCAACCATCTCATAGCTTGAAGTATTAATTTCATCATTTATTATAGGCCATGTCTTACACAGAGTTGATATTCATGATATTCCTAGATGTTCAATGCTAATTCTTTAGTGCAAATAGTTATTTAAAAAAAAAAAAAAAATCTCTGCTGTTCACTGAAATCCCAGCAGATGGCAGTCACCTCTGTTCACCCCACCACACTCAAGAGGTGCACTTCCAGAATTGACCTACAGAGGAGAGGAGGAAGTGAGGTAGGCAAAGGACAAAAATTTTCTTCTTATCTTTTCAGAGAAAGATAACCCTAAGCTTGCCCAAAATAGGAGACGGGTCTTTCAAGAGCTAAACACAATTACAAAAAAAAAACCCACTGCCTTCAGGTTGATTCAGACTTGGGTTTCTGAGGCAGTAAATCTTTATGGAAGTAGGTTGCCCAGTCTTGCTTCTGCAGAGTGGATGTTGTTGTTGTTGTTATGTGCCGTCGAGTCGGACACGACTCATAGCAACCCCTCCTTGGGTTTCCAAGGCAGTATCATTACAGAAGTAGATTGCCCAACCTTCCTTCCGAGGAGTGGCTGGTGGGTTTGAACCGCTAGCCTCCTGGTTAGCAGTCAAATGCCTTAGGCACTAAGCTACCAGAGCTAGTGGGTTTGAACTACCAACCTTCTGGTTAGCAGTCAGATGCCTTAGGCACTATGCTACCAGAGCTCCTTAAACACAATTGTTGTTGTTGTTGTTATGTGCCGTCGAGTCGGCCCCGACTCATAGCGACCCCTCCTTGGGTTTCCGAGGCAGTATCACTACGGAAATAGGATTGCCCAACCTTCCTTCCGAGGAGTTGCTGGTGGGTTTGAACCGCCAGCCTTCTGGTTAGCAGTCAAGTGCTTTAGCCACTATGCTACCAGAGCTCCCTAAACACAATCAGTGTATTATAAACAACGTGAGTGCCAAAGAAGCAGGGAGGCCACATCTTCCGACCTCCTCTAACCACATGAGAGGAAGACAGAATCACCATCAATAACCCAAAACCTATTCCTGTGAGGCTAGGCTGCCTCCTTCTAGCCCTTTCATCAACCCTAACACCAGCCTTTCCTCCTGCAACATCCACCACCTCTCTGCTGGGTTCCATAATTCGCTGCAGTGGCCACACACAACTCACAGATTATGGGGTTTATTGGGGAAGCACCAGGCTACAATTCAAGTTCAGGAAAAACTTTCAGTCTCTCTCAGCCCACTGTCTCTCAACCAACAGTCTCTCTCCCAGCAGTGCTTGTCTCTCAGTGTCTCTCTTAGCAATACATGTCTCTGTGTCTCTTTCTCAGCAGTGCGTGTCTCTCAGGAGCGTGTTTCTCTCAGCAGCAGCACATCCTTCTCAACCAGCAGAGAGATTCCTTCTGCCTGTAGGGCTCTTTTTGAGGCTGAACCAACCAATCCCAACATCAGAATTCTGTACTCCTCAAAGAGAGTGAACTTCCCAGAAAAGTACTCTGTGCTGCTCCCAACAGAAATACCCCAGGTGGATGACTTTTATCAGGAGCTACTCAGTTTCTCACAGCAAATCCCACCATGGAGTTTACAAAGATTTATGGCTAGAAAAGCCATACCAGGTAATTTACTACACTACAGTAAGTCAGACACAGCTTTAAGAATTCAAGCAGTTATTTAACTTTTCTGTTTCTCATAGGTAAACCTGTAATACTTCGTATTTCTGTGAAAATTAAATGAAGATCTATATAATACAGGGCCTAGCAATTTGCAATGAATGCAAGTTAGTTCTTCTTTCTACCCCTACTGTTTTCCCTTCTCAGTAACAGAACCAGAGTTTAACATTTCATTGGCTATTTATTAAGCTGTATAATTTGAGGATCATAATTAGTGAAAAATCTAAATCTAAAGATGAGGTGTCTGGAGTGGGAGTGAAAGCAGATAAACAAAAAGTTTGGATGCAAATAAAGGTCTTAAAAGGGCACACACTGAAGTTACCCAGCATTTCAAAAGATAGCAATTTTAGGACTTGAGGATGATGCAGATCATAAAATGTTGTTAGGTGCTGTGAGGTCAATTTCAATTCATAATAACTCCATGTGACAGAACAGAATTGCCCCATAGGGTTTTCTAGGTTAAAATCTTCACAGAAGCTGATCACCAGGTCTTTTTCCCATGGAACCACTGGGTAAGTTCAAACCACAAATTTTTCAGTTAGCAGGTGAGCGTTCAATCATTGCACCACTAGGGGTCCTTGATCATGAAATAGCATACCTGATAAATGATATAACACAATGACCAACAATGAAATTCTTCTTTTTTTTTTTTTTTTTTATCATTTTAGGGAAAGGAAATAGGGAAAAAGTTACACACATTAACAATCCATCATGCCAAGCTCAAGGAGTAAAAAAATTCCCAGCTAGGAGGAGTCCCTCTCCATTTGTTTTGTCAGTATGAATAAAAAGCAACCATCCCTTCACCAGCAAGTCCCGTACTCAGTCAGAACTGACCCAAGTCTGGTACAGCAAACAATTTAAGTGGGAAGGGCTGAAGCTTTCAAACACAGCCAGTTTTTTGTCATGCATCTTCATCTCAGTGGTGATGTGACCACTGCCCAGGGAACCTGTGACTGGGATCCCAGGGTGAAGCAGCAGCAGATGTCTATGAACACTGTGTGGTGAGACTGGATCAGTGCCTTCAGATTCATAGCTCTGCATGGTGTACTTCTGTCTTCAGCAACTCACTGGGCTTCATGAATATGCCTTCCATGGTTTTCCAATAGTTGTTCTGACTCGGCTGGGCCATGCCATGCACCTCTTTTTGCCCACTGATGGGTCGACCATATTGTTCTCCTGTGACAGACAGCAGTACTTCGGTGGAAGAGTGTTTGAACCGCACCTCACCATCCCTCACCCAGTAGGGCCCGTTACAGAGCACTGTCCAGTCATCCAGATAATCACCTTCACCTTCTTCACCAAAAGCACTCACTTCCTGGAAGACAGATGGTGGCAGCATTAGCATGAGCTGACTCACAGGCCTAAAAAGGGGAGAGGGGCAATGGGAAGAAAATACAAGGCTGCTCCAAAGGTAAAAAAAATGAAATTTTTTCCAGTGTTGCTTAAAAATAAAACAAAAACCCATGGATTAGGACCATACTCTCAGGGGCCAGCTAGATCAATTGACATAGCATTAGTCCATAAAGACAATGTTCTACATTCATTCTACTTTGATAAGTAGCAACTGAGATCTTAAAAGCTTGTGAATGGGCATCTAAGATACAACTGTTGTTCTCTTCCCCTCTAGAGCAAAGAAGAGTGAAGAAAATTAGACAGTGAAGGAAATAATTAGTCCAAAGTACTAATGACCACAAGAACCACAGCCTCAACTACCAGAGACCCGAACTAGGTGGTACCCAGCTATCACTACTGACTGACCACTTTGATCAGGATCACAATAGAAAGTCCTGGACAAAGTGGGAGAAAAATGTAGAACAAAATTCAAAAATCATGAAAAAGACCAGACTTATTGGTCTGATAAAGACTGGTGGAATTCCTAAGACTATGGCTCTTAGACACCTTCAATCGGAACTCAATCCACCCCCGGCGATCACCTTTACAGCCTGCAAAGTGAACAAGAGGAACGTACTCCTCAGAACAATCAACCATACAAGACTAAAAGGGCAGCATTTGCCCAAAAACAAAGTTCAGAAGGCAGGAAGGGGCAGGAAAGATGGGCAAATGGGAAACAGGGAGACCAGGGAGGAAGTGTGAAGAGTACCATTACATTGTAGGGATTGCAACTAACGTCATGAAATGAAATGCATATGAACTATGAACGGGAAACTAATTTGGTCTGTAAACTTTCACCCAAATTACAATAAAATATATTTAAAAAAAAAAAGTGGAGAAAAAACAGATACATAACTGGCATATACAAGAAAAAGAAGTTAACACAAGATTATTTTGCAATGAATACTATATTTGCCTTTTTTTTCCTTGTATTTTCTACTATAGCTTTTGTTTTTATTTTTTAATTGTAATTTGGGTGGAAGTTTACAGAGCAAATTAGTTTTCCACTGAACAATTTATACACGTTTTGTTTCGTAACATCAGTTGCAATCCCTTCAATGTAACAGCATTCTTCCCCTTTCCTTCTCAAGTTCCCCATTTCCATTCTCCCATCTTTCCTGACCTTTCTTGCCTTCTGAACCTTGTTCTTGGGCAAATACTCTTCTGGTCTTATATGGTTGCTTGTACTGAGTACATTCCTCCCTGATGTCCTATTATAGGTTTAAAATACACTATAACTCTTGCTATTAAACTTTAAATATTTCTGCCTCCTTCCCATAACTAGATTTTAAGTGATCTGGTGAAAATAACAGAAGTTAGAAAGGAAATGGACTCTTGAGTCAGGCAGACCTGGGCTTGAAACTCAGATCAATCCTTTCCTCTGTAACTTCATTAAGCCTCAGTTTTCTCCTCTATAAAATGACAGTATCACCTAAAAGAATAATTGAGAATTAAATGAGATAAATATGAATTGACTGAAACACAGTAAGTTGCCAGTGTTTCATTCCTCTTCCAATTCCACTCCATGTAAGGGTAAATACTCAGTTTCCATCACAATGGAAAGTTACTCATTTTATCAGAAGTATGCGATTTAAACACACGGTAACAGCTACATCATTTTAGATGATTTCAAAAAGTAGTCATTTGTGGGAGACATCAAGTTCAACTGGCATAACAATACTACATAAAATCATTGTTCTATATCCTACTTTGGTAAGTAGTGACTAGAGTCTTAAAAGCTTGCAAGCAGCCATCTAGATACAATTGGTCTCTCCTTGTCCAGAGCAAAGAAGAATGAAGAAAACCAAAGGCTCGGAAACAATTAGTTCAAGGGACTAATGGACCATGTGAATCTGAGCCTATACAACCATGAAACCAGAAGAACTGGATGGTGCCCTGCTACCACTGTCAACTACTCAGAAAGGGATCAGTGCAGGAGATTCTGGATAGAGTGGGAGAACAATGTAGAACAAAATTCAAAATCATTAAAAAGACCAGGTTTACTGGTCTGATAGAGCCTGGTGAAACCCCCAAGACCATAGCCCCTAGTTACCTTTCAGCCCTGGAATTAAACTCACTCCCACAGTTTTCAGCCAAACAATAGACAGGCATATACTGTGAACATTTATACCAGGTCAGTACACTTCTTAGAATAATCAATCATGGGAGATCAGAAGGGCAGTATTTGCACAGGGAGATAGCTCAGGAGGCAGGATGCATAGGAAAGAAAGACACAGGGAAGAGGTAACTACAAGGAGGAAGTGGGAAGAGAGCTGTTACACTGTGGGGATTGCAATCAATGTCCTGAAACAAAATGTATGAACTGTCATATGAAAAATGAATTTGCTCTGTAAACTTACACCCAAAACACAATAAAGATTAAAGTAAAAAAAAAGTCACTTGGAATAAATGGAGTCTTTAAGATAACAGTCAAAAGGAACTGTACAAAAGCACTGTACTCCAGGTGATGAAACTATTTCCCACAAGGGTACAGGTTAATTCATTCTGATACTACAAATGTATACTGGAACAATTAAGTAAATGGATGGTGGATGGTGAGAGCCAGGTTTTGCACTGTTAGAGAATTTATAAACAAGTAATGGGAACAGGCTAGAATGATCCATTTGGTAATGGATTAAAGTTGGAGATATCAGTAAGAACTCACAAAAAATACAGATGGTTACATAAATATAGATGTATATATATACAAGTTAGTATGTTGTTGTTGTTGTTATGTGCTGTCGAGTCGGACCCGACTCATAGCGACCCCTCCTTGGGCTTCCGAGGCGGTATCACTACGGAAGTAGATTGCCCCATCTTCCTTCCGAGGAGTGGCTGGTGGATATGAACCGCCAGCCTTCTGGTTAGCAGTCAAGTGCCTTAGCCACTATGCTACCAGAGCTCCCACAAGTTAGTATTGTTGTTGTTGTTATGTGCCATCGAGTCGGCCCCGACTCATAGCGACCCCTCCTTGGGTTTCCGAGGCAGTATCACTACGGAAGTAGGATTGCCCAACCTTCCTTCCGAGACAAGTTAGTATACACACATATTATTTCTTTGCTCTGACAGCTGAGAGGACCTAAAAGAAATGGCACCCCAATAGCAACAAGGACATCTGGGCTCCAGCTCTTGGTTTCTAATATCTGTTCTCCAATAAAAGAGATCCATGGAGAAATGGCTTCAGTAATTTTAGGATTGCAGCAGGAAATATACATGAACCTGGAGTATCAGCTAATGCCAGAAAGTAAAGAAGTACCCAAAACAACAATAACGAAGAAACAAAAACCCACAATGATAAGGGTATGTCAACTGAAATAGCTCCCAATGGTCAAAGCTGGAAGAATTTGAGCAACAAAATAAAGTAGGATTGCATTATAACCCAAAGCATAAAACAAATACCTATGAATTCACAGTCATAAATAAATAACTGAATAAGTAAATGGAAAAGAAATAACTCTCCTGTGAAGAATTCCAAATAAATCTTGTAGCTATTCCACTCTAAAGAAATAAGAGTATAACTCCCCACTCCTTAAGTGTAGACTGCACATGGTGCAACTCCTTTCCAGAGAGAACTGTAGGTAAAGGGACTGTAAAAGGTGGAAAAGTAATTTTACAGGAGCAATATGACAAACACTGCTTCAGCCAGATGATGGGGGTCAACATCAACAGTCATATATCATGTAGGCAGCATGTACCCTTGATACAATGTGAGGAAAATAGTCATTTTCTCAAACACCCATTAACTCTGGTCTAATGAGCAAAGTATCAGACAAATTCCAATGGAGGGGCATCCTATAATATACTTGACCAGTATTCCTCAAAACTGTCAAGGAATGTCTGAGAAACTGTCCCAGCCAAGAGGGGCCTTAAGAGGCATAACTAAATATAATGTGGTCTCCTGGATGGGATCTTGGGAAGAAAATGACATTGGGTAAAAACTGAAACCTAAATGAACAGCGCACCTTACTTGATAATAATGTAACAATATCAATTAATTATAATAAATGTACCATACTAATGTAAGAACATAATAATAGGAAAAACTTTGTACAGGATGGAGATGGGGGCAGAGGGAGAAGTCATTAAGGGGTTTGTTAAGGGGCCTACATCCCTTGAAAGTTCCAGGTTTAAAAAAAGGACACAATGCCTAGTTTGTTTTCCTAATATGGAAGTTCCCAAAGGATAATCTACAGATTGGTTCCTCAGAATGGTTAGTTGGCATGATTAAAAATAATAACTTTTATCATAAGTTTGGAAAATACTAGGTTTCTTTGTTGTAGGATTTATCAGAATGTATATTATGCTAACATATACCTACTCTGTCCTTCTCATTTCTTGATTTGATATAGATGTAAAATCTCTACTTGGACCAGAAACAACTCTCTTTATACTTAATAGACAGAGCTGTTTTTCCAGTGTACATGAAAGATAACATCTACATCTGGAAAAGCAAGGACTAAGAGATCAAATAACCACCCAAATGAGTAGTGCCCAGAGCAGCAATGATACCAACTCACCTGGTTTCCAGAAAGAGGTGAGGTGAAATGGTGACTATGGAGGTTTCTGCCAGTGTTGACATGTGTCAGCCGGATGGGCTGGCCACATTTGACGGGGGTTCCCCTCTCACACACTGTGGCAGTCTTCCCCCGTACTCTCCAGTAACTGTTACTGTCATCCACAGAGGTTACACCTGTCACTGACTGCTGCCCACTACCTGCAAAACAAAAAAAAAAGGACAGTGAGCCCAACTTGATCCTTCTCTTTCCTGCAGACAATATTATGTTCAGCATCATAAATAGGTATGGCAGGGTAGGGAGGAAATTCTATGTTTGGTAATACTATTTATTCTAAGATGTTAAAATATATATGAAAAATACTGTATTTATACAGTACTAAGTATTATATGGTAAACTATTAAGAGTGTTACATTATAATATTTGAAAAATTTGCATTAAAGAGCACTAGTTACACAAATACACGTTTCCTGAAGGACAGGAAATGTTTACCTGTATACATTCACCTGGATTTACCATGTTTTACTGTCAAAATTTTTAACATATTTCACAATTAAAATGAGATCATTCTTTGCTGTCAACTAACCCAAGCAGCCATTGTAGCTCCTGAATTCCTGCGAATGGTCTATCAATATAAATCATAAAAGTATTGTTCAGTTATCTAATGTTGGCTCATGCTGCTTTAAGTGGTGCAATTCTGCAGGTTAAATAATAATTGCTAGATAGTTAATATGTATTGAGCACCTACATAGTGCCAGGTAGGTACCCAAGCCCTTTGCCTGGATATTCTTATTTGATACAGATTATCTATTCTCTGAGGTGGTTGTTGTTATGTGCCATCAAGTCAGACCCGACTCATAGAGACCCCTCCTTGGGTTTCCAAGGCAGTATCACTATGGAACCTTCCTTCCATTCTCTGAGGTAGGTATTAATATTATTATCCCAATTTTATACTAGAATGTTAGGCTAAGTAACATACCCAAGGTCTTGCAGCTCCAAAAGATAGGGCTGGGGTTTGAACCTAAGCTGCCTGACTCAAACTCACACTCTTAACCACTCCACCACATGGCCTATAAAGGTCACCATTCTTCCTCCAGCTTTATTTTCTGTCAAGTTTCCTCCAAATAGGCTACTCTCTCACATAAACTCCAGGGATATTCTTTTCCTTAGGCCTCATTAGCTACCCAGTTCTTCAGAGGCACTCTCTATTTCCCAGACACTCTCCTCAGATTCTCTCACCTGTTCCACTTAGCTTTGCTTTCAGTTCCATGGCCTTGAACGACTATAACCTTTTGATGACACTTTACCACTTAGCACATTATACCCAATTATCTGGGTAAATGTTTGTGGCTAAACTATCAGCTCCTCCTTACTATTTCCACGCAGCTCATCATGACTTTGTTAAAATCTTTTAGAAAAAAAAAAAAGCAAACCAACTCTTCCCTCCTTACTTCCAGCTACTGCTTTACAGGTTTCATAGTCCATATTTCACTAAATCATGGTTTACACTTTCTATCTCCTATTTTTCATTTTCCATTTACCCCTCCACTTCTCATCCTTAAACCTTGACATTATGTAGAATACTTTTCTGTCATTTACCGGTTAAATATCAGAACATAAGCATATGTATTTTTAACAAGTTTCTCTAGTGATTGAAATTGACACTAGATTGAGAGCCACATTTCATCCAAGACAAGCTCATCTACTCCCATCACATTTTCAACCACCATCTTTATAACGATGTTGTATTTTACCCTGTATCTCAGGCTCTGGTGGCTCTGGGGCTCTGGTGGCACAGTGACTAAGGCATTTGACTGCTAACCAGAAGGTTGGTGGTTCAAACCCACCAGCCACTCCATGAAAGATGGGGCAATCTACTTCCATACAGATTTACCACCTTGGAAACCCAATGAGGGTCACTGTGAGTCAGAAATCGACTCGATGGCAGTGAGTTTTTTTTTTTGGTTTATCTCAGGCTCAGCACAGATCACTCTCTCCTGAGCTCCAGATTGAAACTGGTTCCTAAATCTGGCTGCCCATCAGAAGCACCTGAAGATCTTTTTAAATCCTACAAATTCCTCTTGGCAGGTTTTTCTCCAACCCCCATTCAGTAAATCCAAAGTAAGAAACCAGATTAAATTTAAAAAGTGATATGCCTGACACAGGAGCTCTGGTAGCATAGTGCCTAAGACACTTGACTGCTTACCAGAAGGCTGGTGGTTCAAATCACCAGCCACTCCTTGGAAGGAAGGTTGGTCTACTCAACTGACTCAACATAACAAAAACATGCCTGACACACAGTAGGTGATCACTGAATGGTTGCTAGGATTAAGACATCCCAACAATGACAACTCAGTTCCTTTCCTAGTCTAACTGGTCAGACAGGTTTGGGGACTATGAACCACAGGCCAGCCCATCTAAAAGAGACTCCTTTCTCTCTTGGCTAACAGCATCTTTAGTCATCCAAGGCAGACATCTAGCCTCTCTCGTCTCACTAGCTTAAGTTCTCTCTTTTTTGTTTTGTTTTCTAGCTGTATCTCTTGAATCTACACCAAAACTAGGAACATGGTAGGAGCTCATTAAATCTGTGCCGTTAAATAATTGATCACTGTGAATTTTAATGTCATATGATAAAATGCCCTCTAAACAGTTTCTTTTCCAATTCCTGTCACTGCTTTAAGTTCTTTACAAGAAAGAGGGTAAAGTCCCTGTAAAAAAGAGTCAAAGGATAGAAGCTGAAGATCAAGTGTAAGATGCAAAGAACTGGAAGGCCAGAGGGTTGTAGTCAGAGAATGGATTTTTTAAATTTAATACTTAAGAGATACCGCTTATTTAATATCTACATACCTGTCTCCTCTGCACTGAGTAGTGCCACCCCTGGTGGCGTAGTGCCTAAGGCACTTGACTGCTAACCAGAAGGCTGGCGGTTCAACCCCACCAACCACTCCAACCACTCCTCGGAAGGACGGTTAGGCAATCTATTTCTTTAGTGATACTGCCTCAGAAACCCAAGGAGGGGTCGCTATGAGTTGGACTCTCGACTCCCCGGCAGTGAGTTTGGTTTGTTTTGGTTCTGCCATTCACTAGATGAAAGGTTGTGAGCAAGAGATTTAATTTCTCAAGTGTGTTTCCTCATCAGTAAAATGAGGATAACAATATTCTGTAACTCATTGTTGTTGTTGTTATGTGCCGTCGAGTCAGCCCTGACTCATAGCGACCCCTCCTTGGGTTTCCGAGGCAGTATCACTACGGAAGTAGGATTGCCCAACCTTCCTTCCGAGGAGTGGCTAGTGGGTTTGAACCGCCAGCCTTCTGGTTAGCAGTCAAGTGCCTTAGCCACTATACTACCAGAGACTCCTCATAGAAATGTTAAAGATCGAAAAAAGTACTATGCAACGTGTCTGGCATATAGCTCACAAGACAGAAGCTGGCATGATTAAGATGCTTTAAAACAGTTCAATGTTCCCGACTCTCCCACTTGAGCCTGCACCCAACATCCCTAATCCTCCCCAGCCACACCCCTCAGATTTTCCCTAGGCCTCCCTAGCCTAACCCGAACCCCGTCCCCTGCAATACCTGACCCATAGCGCACGTCATGCGAGTGCAACCGGACGTTATGGCGCGTATTGAGTAGCTTTACCACAGAACCGCATGTAACGACAGCCAGATCAGATGCTCCCACAGCGCCCCACAAACTCCCGAATAACAGTAGAGGTACCACAGCCATTCTGGCTGGATCAGGAGTCCTTATCCTCGAAGAAAACCCGGCCCCCTCCCCGGAACCGGAAGCTGCCAGCAGAACCCCAGAGGGGAGGAAGTGAAGAAGCCGGAGTTCTGATCTTTATAGTTCCTTTGGCTAGAGTGGCCTGAGGAACTGGCTGGGCCTAGTTGCTTCCGATCCTTCCTCGGCTCCCGGAACTCTGTGATAGCTGTCTTCCTGAACCTCTTCTGCCAGCTTTTGCCCTCCCGCACGTAAACCCCAAAAGCTAGTGGGTGAAGAGAGCAACAAATGACCCACCCACACCCAGTGACAGGGGGCAGGAAGTGACGCAGCACGTTGACGCGGTGGCGGTGGCGGTGGCGGTGGAGGGCCCGTGCGGTGGGTCCAGAGTATCCTTTCCCAGTCTCGGTTCGACGACTCCATTTTCCTCGGTGGGGGCGTAGCGCACCAGAGAAGCGGCGGGATTCAGGCAGGTAAAGCTCGGACTAGAGAGTGCGTTCCTCGCATGGGTCTGGGGGGGAACCGGGCTCCTAGGGCCTGGTCCGGTGAGGAGAGGCACTGGGGAGCCGTATGCGGGAAGGAGAGGTGCCCTGGCCTTCCCTGTTTTATGTTGGGGGGGCAGGGGAGGAACGCGGAGGAAAAGCCGAGTCGTCATTCAGAGTCCCAAAGCTTTTCCCAACCTGCAGCACCGGGAACCTACGAATTGGGCGGCCTGTTGAATCAACAGGCTTCCTGGGATCCTGTCCTTCTTTCTGCAGCTTCTGAAAACTAGGCCATGCGAAAGGATTGGGATGGAAAGGACCTGGGGCTTCTCAGCTGGGATCAGGTGATCGAATTGTTTGCCCTGGGAATGTGAATCCCACGGAGCTTTCAGTACCTCTGCCACCAGGACATAGGGCGACACCAAACTTCATCTTTTTCCGTGTTGGATAGTTAAACTGGAACTTTTTGTGAAATATCTGTACCCTTAACCCCTTTCTAAAGACCAGAGACCCTATAGAAGAAGTTCATAAAGCCTCTGAAGCCCTATATTCTCTATTGATTCATTTTCTCAAACATTTGCAAGACGCCTACCAGAGCATCAGAATGGGGCTATTAAGTCAAAACTTTTATCTTCTAGTTTCTGCTTTCTCCAACCAATCTCTTGAATCAGCTAGAGTAGTTCATGTGCCTGGGTTTTTCTTTAGGGAAGGCCTAACATCTCTGAAAATGCTTGGTGGAAATTCACTGTAGTATCAGAGGTAGCAAGGTAGTAGTGGTGAGCTACACCACTGCTATTAATAAACACAGAGAATGTAAACAATATTGAATTTGGTGAATTTGTTCAGAAAAAAGCTTTACTTTATTGTTTGTCTGAAAATGACCGGTTTGTGTATTGATCAATACACTTTAGTGTATTGATTACAAAAGTGTGGTGGTTCCCCCTATCAGCTGTGAATTTAGGTCTCCCGTGGAGTCCCCGGGTGATACAAATGGTTGACTACTCAGCTGCTCATGGAATGGTTGGAGGTTCAGATCCTCCCAGAGGCACTTCTGCTGAAAGGCCTGGCAATCTCCTTCTGAAAAATCAGCCATTAAAAACCCTACAATTCTACTCTGACAACCTGAGTTTGCCGTGAGTCAGAGTCAACTGGAGGGTAACTCTTGTTTTGTTTTCTTTTTTCTATGATTTGTTGTCTCTTCAGTCAGTACAAGTCTTGCTTTTATATAATTGGCTTTAGTGGCCACTAGATTGGATTAGCATAGTATTGGTACTTTCTAAGAAGTTCTAACCTCATCAAGAGATTTATCACATCAGGAAGTGGTGAGGTCTAGAGCTCAGCTACATTTCACAGGTCTTTTTCTGTAGGCTTCCTTTACAAGAGAAGCAGCCTATCTAGTATGGTGGAAACATGGTCTTTGGAGGCAAATAAATTTGCCCTTGCTTCTCTGTCCTTTGTCTCAATAAATAGCATCACCTGCCTATAATCTTTAGCTGCTTCATTTCCACTGTTTCCAAATATAATCAATTGCCAAATCCTGTTGATTTTTCTACTACCTCTTAAAATCCGTTCCCCCGTCAGCCTACAGATTATGTTCTCACTTCTCTTTCCAATTACCATACCACTTTTTTTACTTCATAGCCAAATTTATACCTGTACCAACTCCATTTTTCTTACTTATTCACTCCTCAGCCTACTCCACTCTGGCTTCTTTGACCCCTCCATTAAAATCACTTTTGTCAAGGTTGCCAGTTGCTAATTCCAATGGATAATTTGTTCTTATCTTCCTTAGTTTATAAAACATTCAACACAGTCTTTCTTTTCTTGAAACTCCCTTCTCTTTGGCTCATTTCCACCCCACTCCTGTATTGTCACCTTTTTCTGGCTGTTCCCTCTGTCTCCTTAACTAGCCACGTTTACTTGATGTCTGAATGTTGGGATTCACTTAAGATTTAATCCTAAATTCTCTATGTTAGAGCTTTCTTTAGGTGATCCAGTCTCATGATCTTAGTTATGATCTAATAGCTGACAACTCCCAAATTTAAATTTCCAGCCCAGCACTCTTCCCTCTGTGTTCTAGAATCATACATCAGAATGCCTTCTTGATATCTCCGTTTGGGTTGTCTCTTAGACACCCCAAATCTAACATAAACCTATTGCTGTTGAGTGGATTCTAACTTATGGTAACAACAAATCTAACATAGCCAAATGAAAATTGGTTTTTCCCTTCCTTCCAAAGCTAATCTTTCCCCATCTTACTAAGTGGCACTCACATCCACATGTTTACTAAAACCACACCTCTGGGAATCATCTATGATTCTTCCCTTACAATTTCTCCCAACCCCCAAGTCTTTTAAGACATTCTGTCACTTCTACCTGCAAATCCATCTCCTATTTACCATCTCCACTGCCACCATCCTATTCCATACTACTCTCTCTTACCTGGGCTACCACAGTGGCATCTTCAGTCTACTCAAATCCTCCTCAGTCTGTATTCCATGCTGCAGGATCATGTCAATTCCCTGCTTAAAACTCTAGTGGCTTTTTATGATTTCCCATGGCCTTCACAGCTCTGCTTGAATGTTGTTGTTGTTGTTGTTATGTTGTTGTTATGTGCCGTCGAGTCAGCCCTGACTCATAGCGACCCCTCCTTGGGTTTCCGAGGCAGTATCACTACGGAAGTAGGATTGCCCAACCTTCCTTCCGAGGAGTGGCTGGTGGGTTTGAACCGCCAGCCTTCTGGTTAGCAGTCAAGTGCCTTAGCCACTATGCTACCAGAGTAGGCTCTTTCAATTGGATTCTGTCTGTATTCACCAAACTCTAATCATACCAGCCTTAGGCTGTCACCTACCATGTGCCTGCTTTTTTCTACTGAGAAACTCTTTCCCCAGCTCTGCATGCCATAACCTACCCATTTTTCACATCTCAACCTAAAGTCACACTCAGAGATGCCCTTCCTATCTGAGTAGCACCATTTATTTCCTTCATATTACTCGTAGTGACATTTATTTATTTGTGGTTTGTCTTTTGCACCAGAAAGCAAATACCCTAGGGACAGGAACCTTATCTGTCTTACACATGCCTGACTTGTAGTGACCAGTTAACCAGTTGCTGTTTAGTTGATTCCAACTCATGGTAACCTCATGTATATCAAAGTAGAACTGTGCTGACTTTTTGCAAGTATATCACCAGGACTTTCTTCTGAGACACCTCTGGGTGAAATCAAACTTTCAAACTTTTGGTTAGCAGCCAAGCACAGTAACTATTTGCCCTACCTAGGGAGGCATATAGCAGACAATCTATTAAATATTGTTAAGTTAGTAAGTACCTTAAGTCCCTTCTCTGTTTAAACCCTACCTATAGTGGTTTCCCAGCACCGTTAGGATAGAGTCCAAACTCTTTAACTTACCCTGCAAAGATCCTTTCCTTGAACTGGACCTCTCTGTTCCTGCCACAGCACATGGTAGGCTTGGTAGAGAAGAATGCTCTCAGGACCACCACTCCCCCCACTATCTCCAAAGAAACCAGCTTCTCCATTTCCTCCCTCTTAAAGTCTTTGTTTAAAGTTACATTCACAAAACCAGGTCTGGTGCCTGTGTTACAAGCTCCCATGGTAGGTACCCTTATTTGTTTAAAGTTCCTCTGTATTTCTAGATAAGGAGTCCTGGTGGCACGCTGGTTAAGCACTCAGCTGCCAACCAAACGGTCAGTGGTTCAAACCCATAAGCCACTTCAAGGGAGAAAGATACAGCATTCTGCTTCTGTAAAGATTTACATCCTTGGAAACTCTATGGGGCAGTTCTATATTGTCCTATAGGGTAGAAATGAAATAGGCAGCAATGTGTTTTTATTACATAACGTTTTTTATACTCTGGCACTGAAAAGATTCTGAGACTATTATTTTCTGTAAATATGTGCATGTTAAAACAATTCAAGTGAAATTAACCTTTTCTACATTTTAACACCCTTGACTTAGTGTAATTAGGACTTTGGAATCCTGGATTTTAAAGCATTTTCTTGAGTGGATACTTTTATTTATTAAACTTTTAGGTTTTTTTAATACTAAATTGGGTATTCACTCCTGAACACCTTAGGAATAATCTTAGGCCCTAGCATATAAAATACAGAATGTGGACTATCTTGTGGTTTAAACTGCGTTCAGACGTCTGGTAGTTCTCCAGACCAATAGACCCTTTCAAGCCTTCGCCTTTGCTCATGTTGCCTTTTTCCAGACTGCCTGTCTCAAGTCAGGGATCACCTTCTCTGAGGCATTCCCCAACCTCTTGTTTTATATTGCTATCATATTCCTTGTGTATAATTCTAATGTGATATTTATTACACCTTGTCATAACTATTTACTAGTTTTTTGAGATATGTTTTGAACTCCACCAGGGCGGGAAGCTTCTTTTCATCACATTTTAAGTATCCAAGTCCCAGCATAGAGCTTGACCCTGAACAAAACAGTAAATGTTGACAGAAGCTGCAGTGGAGGGAATTAAGGAACTAGGTCCCTCTTCACTCTAGCCTCCTCTTAATTGCCTCCTACGTCTTATTC